AATACACACGGATTTAATGAAAAAAAAGTTGACGGGGGATTGCAATTTCAAGTAAAATATTTTCTCGTTGTTTGTCGTTAGTAAATATTGTTGACAGGTGCGATAAAACAATTGTTGCGTGCTGGAAAATGCCAGTAGTTTTCAACGTTCAATCTCATGATTTATTTATTCATGCTTTTTTTTGCAACGTAGAAAAGAGAAGTGTGAGAAGAAAGCGAGAAAGAGAGACAAAGAGAAAGAAAACAATTTTTAATAAAACGGATTTTATGAAAGGCAAGCATATAACAAAAGTATAAATTTGAATAGTGATAAAATTAATATCAAATAGTGATAAAATTAATACCATATCGTATTTTACAGATAATAGTTAAATACAGTCTGATCAAGATATGTTATAAAAGCTAAAGCTAAGGTAAATTACTTTTAATTTTTACTCACGTTAATTAATTTATATAAAAGAACTTTTGATTGAAATACATGTACTAAATGTCAAAAAACTGTGAGTTTATATCAAACTTTTTATTAATATAATCTAGAAAAATCGAGATTTTTCGTATTTGCTATATAGAAAGATTCATAATACCTTTTTTTAGAATAAAAATTGAGTTAGCGTACGTTCTGAAATTTATGTAAATACGATTGTAATTTTTGCAGGTAGATTATGTCATTTTGACGAGACTTCTACGTTTCATGACTAGAATGCATATTGATTTTCGCTCGCTTGTCGTCTTTGGCGACGGCTAGTTCCCAAGTATTTTGCATCTTATTAACCAAAATACCATGCCAATATCGTGAACTTTCACGCGAACTTAAACGAATGTTGGTCCTTCTCTGAACGTTACGCGCGTCAAATACGCCGCGTCTGAGAGTGATCAAAAAAGTTTCAGAAGTCGAACGCGATAAGCATGATGATTACGTTATTTGCATATCTTCTTCATGGCTGAGAAAACAAGCCTCGATCAAAAAATTCAAGCAACTTATATATTCAGGTACTTGAAATAATTGATAGCTATAAGCAAAACATGGCACAATACTTTTAAAATAATATTAAATTTTCAATATGATTAAATAAAAAAATATCGAAGTTTTTATTCTTTTTTTTTGCTTTCTATTATTATTCAATATAACAGTCTCTATTATTATTCTATAACAGTCGTATTTTTGCAGTCATAAATTTAATAGATTTATTGTAAATCTTTTTTCTTTTGTGATAAACAAGAACTTGTTAATATATTTAATAATTGTTTTGAACGTAATATAATATATGCATATAGAAGAGTTACCCGCCGACGGAACATTAATTATTTGACACATTGACCCGACAAATCTGCAGCAATTACTTCTTCAAAGCTGAAATCGGATTACGAATGGCGACTGTGCAAACAGCGCTTTGTCATAACTTATGTAGGATACTATTGCATTTGTGTGCTCTTTCAGAGCGATTAAATTCTCATTGTAACTAACAAGGACGACTCAGTAGTGTTTCCGTACGACAACAACGATGTAGATTCCTGAAGTGCCAATTAGTACTTCAGTATTCCAAGTGCAAATACGTACAAGTGTTATTATTTGTTATCATAACTGATGACTTAATACAAAGCTTTGCGAGATTACATCTCCATGAGAATATCGTTTTCTCTTTTAGAAATCTTTATGCCGTGTAACTCAAACAGCAATAATGAATATATCAGAGCATACAAAATAACTTTCTATATATATATAATCTATATAGTGTTACCAAACATATACAAACTTATTTAAATTAAATAAATTATTTTAACAATATCAGTAAAAGTAAAATAGCTGTATACTATTCATATACTTGATTTAGATATCTGTTGAATTTTATAATACATAATGAATAATTTAATCACTTTTTATAACATGTACATAAAAGAATATCGAAGTTGGAAGTTCCGACGATATCTGCTAAGAATTAAGATGGACATGGTTGCAGGATACTGGTAATTACCGCATAAAAGAATAATAAGCTTTTTCCGAAACTTCTTCATCATTCACAGTGCGAACCTTCGGTTTAACGAAACGAACACGCATAAATCGATTAGAATGTACATTGAGATGAAGCTTGTCTTGCTCGCTCGTGTATCCAACTGCGGTTACAATTTTACGGCTACGCTCGCTACATATTCATAGCGCACTGTCGGAATGGAGAGACCGTTCCGGAAGTTGCCGCCGCGCGTATTCGGGTCAGTTGCAAATAACGAATGTCGCCAAAAATCAGCGTGATTTATAGCGAATCCGATCGCAATTCCGGCCGTCGCCGGCAAGTACAAATCGAATACTCTGGCCGGGAGAGTCGAACTTATGTAAAATAGCCGCGGTCGCATCCGCCCGCGCGACTCGACTCGGGACGACAAACGCGCCACGATGATTAATCGCGTTGTCGGCCGAGCGGTGCGATTTAAAAGTAAAATCATTTATTCGATATGGGACGAGAAGGGACCCGGCGATGACAACCGGTAATAGCCTGCATTACGCGTAATGACAAACGGCGATGCGCTGCAACGATATGGAAAGTGGGTCACCACGTGGGTTCCCCTTTCACCCTGGTGTCATAAAGGCGTCCCAGGACATCCCAAGCGCCTTTAGCGACCGTTCTACCGGAAAATTTGCTCGCTTAGATGCCGACAAATGTACCTCTTCCTCAGCGACAGCGAGGTACGTAAGTACGGCTGGAATAAATTCGCGACAAAAAAATAAAGGAGAGAGAGAGAGAGAGAGAGAAAGAGAGAAGAAAGCCGATCTGTACGATATCATCCGTAAGGCACCCGCATTCTCTCTTCCGTCTAAGACGCCAAGCGTGCAAGCTGTTCGTCTAGAAAATTTGCATCCTCGAGACGTTTCAGCCCGACTGCTCACACCCGTATCGTCTTTAAAATTAGATATCCGCACCGCAAATTCGATGACGAACGCGAAAATTCTCAAATCAAGTTGAAGAAAATATTGGAGAAAAATTGTGATGAATATTAAACAAATTGAAAATGCGCATCGTTTATTTTTTTTTCATCCATTTACGTTTTCATCTTTACATTATATTTTCCGAAAAATCTGATACTCCACGATAAACGTGAAATAAATTTTAGTTATCTATCTAGTTTGTTAGATAAGTATCCCAATCATTCCCAAGAGCATTCGAGGTTCATTACAAGACGGCAACATTAATCACGCGATCAATCGGCGGTGTCCTTGAAAATTCCCGACGGAAAATTCACATGTCTCGGATATCCTTGCTGTCTTTTTCCCCAGCGGTTAAACGACTCGCAGCGAACTTTCTCCTCCGTGGAGTAAGTTCTCGAAAAGCTCGTTCAACCTCGGGCCACCGGACGACGCGTTTGGACAGGCGTGAAAGGATTAAAAGAGCGAAGTAATGTCGGCGTACAATGGGCTCTCCTTGCACTCACCACAAAGAAGAATTGTCCGCAACGGCGGAATTCGTATAATCTGGAGCAGAATTTCCCAAATTGTGGCTCATAACAAAACATTTGTTCGTCAGTCCTGAATGCAGACATTTCTAATTTATTATTGAAATTAAAGTAATGTTTCTTTTCTTATAAGACTGTAGCTTCGTCATAATGATCCAAGAATTACTGAATTATTTTTTCAAGAATTGTACTACTGAGTTATTCGGAATTTTCGTTTTCCAACATAATGTTGTATTTTCCACGTATGATGTATTTCCTTTTAACATAAAACTAGATATCTAAAAAATCACTCCTTATTTACTTTTAATTTGGGAAACTGATCGAGAACGAGAATACACTCTACTGTATCTCATAGGAGCGAAAACGAGATGACCGAGAAGTTCTCTCTTGAAGAAGAAGAGAAGGCGGAGGAAACCAGTTTCAGGTGATATATCTTCGCGGTCTCGCCTCGACGAGCCTCCCCTAAACGCCCGAAGAGGCGATGTGCGGTAAAAAGAGCGCAGGGATGGTGCGAGCGCGCGCTCGCACGCTTCTACCAGTTTTTGTCCGCGCTGCGGAACTCCCGTTAATCCCTCGGAGTTTGCCTCGAAACCGGCTGGAGAAGCTTCTTTCGGTGACTTGGGCCACTCCCCAAAGTAGGGGCGACGAAGAGAGCGAATCGGGGGAGACTTTCCGACTGCGACTGCTGGAAGCGAGAGTGGCGAAAGAGGCGCAACGACGCAAAATAAACTACCCCCACGTCGCATAATACACGGCGTCACCCCTGAAGTCACTCACCCCGAGACTTCCCCCAACCGCCGACACCGCAATCTCTTTCTACGCAGGCTCTTGTAATACGGTCGTCGCACTTCAAATACAACACGAGAGTCGTTTCTTCCCAGTTCACGAGCTCACTTAAAACAAGTCGCAAGTGCCGCTGGATTCAGACTTAATTAAGTTTATATTTCAGTTTCGATGGGCACACAACTCGTCTACCGCCCTCAACACACATTACTTGTTACTCATTTCCGGCACGATGGCGCGCAACTAGGTTTAATATCACAGAAATTTCACTGGGCTCTTGTGCCCGTCAATTCCTGAGTAAAAACGACCTGTGGTAGAATTATTTCACACTGGCTCTATCTCAAAACGCAATTTAAGCTCATGCATATGTATGATAACTGCTGATTATTTTCTGTTATTTTTGTATTCTGCCGTACCGGTTTGTTGTGAGTTTTCAGAGAAGTTTAATTATATAGATATTTTAAACTAAAAATAAAAAAAAATCTTTTCAGAGAAATAAACAGATAACAAAACTTCATTTTCGATTGATCTTTAGTCAATTTATTTTGATAAAAATCACTCAAAGTACCACTACTACGAAATTCAATAAAAATTAAAGAGTAACAAGAAACGATAATTTCAATATTTTATTAAAGAAAAAACATCACTCTTTTAAATTTATTTAGTTTAAAAAAAAAAGATAAATAAAAGATGAATTGCGTTCGTCGTTTTCGCATTAAAGATTATTTTGTGAACGTAATACAGTTAATGCAATTTCGTATTGTCGATACTCACATTGGACGTCAAGCAGAATGCTGGCATTCATTGGTATCATCAGCGTAATGTGGCGCGCGACACAAACGATAGTGGCGTTGTGATGTCCCCTCAAGACCTTTAGGTGAGCCCCGCTGCGTCTGCCGGATGTTGAAGGCAATACAGTGAGGTTGTCTGGCGGTTGTTCCGGACCGTCTAAAGTGGCTTGAGACAAGGTCATGCCCCACGCCAGGATGGGCGGTGGGTTTCCACCTTCGGCCGCGCACTCGAGAGTGAGCTCCGAGCCCTCCTTCACCGGCACAAACTGGTTTCCGGGATCTAGCCGGCGGCCATCTATCAGCAGATACGTCCCACGAGGTGCCTCTGTAACAAGGAACCATGCAGTAACCGCTTCAATTAGTGACCTCGTAACACTGAAAAATCGGGATGAACGCGAGTAGTTATTGCGGCGTGCAAAAGAAACGATTTGATAATATTCGAAAATTTCTGAAACAGAACGCGTTTAATTGCCATGATGGTCACTGCTGGTCGACACTGCTATCGAAATTTTTTAAAACTCTTATAAAAAATAAAAGCCATTTAATAAAATTTTGAATAGTAAAAATTTAGATTACAAACGTAAAGTAAAAAATGCACAATTTGTGTTATGTGTGAAATAAAATCATATTTAACTATATATTACATATATAGAAAGAACGATTTTATTGAAATATTAAAAATTTTTTTTTAAATTTAAAATTTAAAATTTAATTTAAAAAAGCTACATACAGATCCCAAAATAATTTTGTTGGATCATCAAAATAGTTATGTGTAACGTCGATGATAATAGATACAAATGACAAAGGTACAAAAGTAAAAAGTTTTAACATTCTAGATTCAATCAATTTAAATATTTTACATAACTCTTTTGATGAGTTCAAACAAAATTATTTTCATATCTAGTATCTTTCATATCTGTACCTAGCTAAATTTTTAAATGTTTCAACAAAACTGTTCTCTTTTCGTGTAATAATAATACACCGTGATTTTTTTTTTTATCATAATAATGAAAATTCTATTGCGGCGAACACAGTAAGCCATAGAAATAGAAATTATTCTGTAGAAAAGTATTTTATATTTGCATTTATTTAAAGTATGAAAAATAAATAACAAAATCTTCCCGCAATCATTTTATAATCAAGCAACTTTGTTGTCGCTTCCTAGCGACATGGCTATCATAAAGTATATATTACAAGCATGTAGGATGAGATGCAGCGTTAACGTCTCAGGCGAGCAATTTACAGTCGAGTGCAATGTTGCATTTAATCAGATTTATCAAATGCACGCGTGGAATAGTTTTTAGTCTCAGACGTGCTATCGTTGCTCGTGGACGTAAATTAAAGTCGTTCGTACGGCGGACTTTTTACGCGACACTGCGACGCAGCGAGAGGCAGAAAGTACAACATATGAGAGCCGCAATTTACAGAGCGACATTACACGCTACGCACTGGCTTTTACGACATCGTCGATACGAAAGCGTAACTTCCCGGTACGACTCCTTTTCTCATTTTGCGACACGGTTTAATCGCCGGCGCGAATCGCGAGTCCCTTGAGAGATTAGCTCGGATATCGTCCCTTGAAGCTCTCTTTAATTTTCACCAACTTTCAATTGGCTAGGTTGAGCTAACAACTGATTAAGCCCTGGCTGGCAACTCGGAGTCGGCTTTGAAAACAAAAAAAAAAGAGTAACTCACCGTTCTATCCGGCCGCGCTTTTCGCTTCGTGAGAGAAGTAATCCGGCCGTTTGTCTACGTCGAATCTCCTAGGAAACCAGCGAGATGCTTTAATGTACTTGAAACTCGGGTTTTTATCCCGTTTTTCTCCCCTTCCTTTTTCGCTCTACCCTCGACTCTTAAATGCGTCCGGAACTTATGCGTAATTAAAATCTAACGATGCAAATCGTCCAGTATCCGGGGTATTCTCGTGAGAGGCGTAAACACTCTAAAGTAGACGTCAGTAAATTCGGTTATAACTTAACCCGTTTTCCGTCCGCGCTCTATTCATTTGGGACTCGTTGTATATATCCGTTTCGATTTTTTGCAAGCTCTTCTGTACCACAGATTGCTGGTTTATCGTCCATTAAGATCGGTAGTAAATTGTAATCCTGTAGGGAGAGAAAACCGAAAAGCTATTTAACGCTGTTTAAACCTACGATGGAAGAATGTGAACTTGAACGATGCTTCGAGGAAAGTTGTAACGATTTATCCAAAAGTTAAATTACAAGAGTAACGTAGTAAGTAATTCTTATTCGATGGAAATGTAAAAGAATAAGGCAAACTGCAGTGGATTGCTTTTCGGCGCGAGAAAATTTGTAAAGTCAATGTGTCGTCTTATATAAACTGGCGACACGGTGCGCGCTGCCAATCTCTCCCAGTTCCAAGTTGACTTCTTCGCCATACTCCCGCCGCGCTTCGATAAGATCTAGTCACGTTCATTAAATTTTCTCGTACTGTCGGCCTTGCCAAGACGGATGGTAGGGACGTTCTCGAAATAGGTCGCTGAATAAGAGGAAACGTGCAAAGCTTTCTAAAGACAGAAATTGTAATTGTATCTCCAGTATGATTTAATGTAATAAAATATAGCGCAGGCAGCACCTGCAGCACCGAGTAAAATGGCGCAGGCATGACGGAAAATTTAATAATACTATGAGATTTAATAATATGGCCGAAGCTATGTTCTTTTTCAATTTGTTAACTAAATATATAAAATTAATAACAAGTACATTGAGATACATTATATTCTTATATTTTATATAATTTTATGTCCTTTACTAGAGTTTTTTTTTACATATGCGATAATAGCTAGTAAATATAAAAATTTTTTTTATTTAGATTTTTTTTATCTTACTTTAAGTTTTTTATGTTACATGATATTAACAATCTAGAAAGTCAGAAACGTCGAGTGAGCAACAATAAAAATGAAATGAATTCAATACTTGTTGATTCCACAGTATTATTGGAAGTTTAGTCCATTACAATGTAATGAGCATCTTTTATTGATGTATACTTTTTCTCTATCTCTCTATTTTTTTCTATAATGCATAAATTATATTTTTATTTCTATTCACTGTCATATATTATTATTTTATTTATCCTGTTTATTAATGTATTACTTTTCAGATTAAACTAATTGCAGTAATAAGGAAAGTCAGTAATATGTATGATTTGTTAATAATCCAGCAAACATAATATAACTGTTATAATTTCCTACTTAATAATGTAACTGTAATATAACACTTATTGTATGTAACAGTTATATTGTTGAATTGGAAATTGTACTAACTAACAGTTAAGTTATTGTTAGTTGGTACTTGCTGGGATTTTGAGATTATCGAACTTTATAGCATTGGAAAATAATCACAATTATTCTAACTGAGTTTAATTGTTCTTATAATATTGGAAGTTTTCTTAAGAAGTAAAAAGTTTTTTTTGTAGCTTTTTTTATTGAAATCTTACGTATTATCATACATGTTATTTAAAACATTTTTGTTAAAGCAATAATAGATACGCCTCACTTGAAATGATATAACTTTGAAAAAATTCTTCACATAATAATGAGAAGATTGTATCAAGTCCATATTGTATCTCAACGGTAACAAGAAGTCCCAAAAAACGTATCAAAAATCTCAGAAAATCCAAAGATACTTTGCATATACTTTTCGTCTCAATCTTCGCTCTAAAAATCGCGGAGCCGGCTCCTTGGAAAGATTCCAGAACCATGTAACGCGATCGCGAATCGAGAAAAGAAAAAAGTTTGGAGGGAAGAAAGGTCCTCGCGCCGTTCTACGAATACGGTTATATGTTTCCCTACGAACGTATGATGCTCCATGGGCGTTGAAAGATTGTAAAATCGGATCTTATTGAAAATATGAAATTCTCTTCGTAATATAAAGTATGGTATTTCGTTCCTCATGTATCCGCATAAATTTTTAATACGATATTAGATTGTTTATGTTTAATATGATATTAGATATCTTAATTATCATATTAATGTGGAATTTAATATCTCGAAATGTGAAATACATTGTTACATATGAATATAATCTCTCTATTAGAACGAAAAAAAATAAATGGCGTTTAAATTATATTTTCACGGTATGTAATACAGTATAATTTTTTTTTTAAGAGAATTGTTATTTTCATCGAATATTGCTAATGCTACTGATATTTTAGCAATAAAACCATGAAAAATTATGATCTTTTTGAAAAAAAATTAAATAAGTACAATTCAAGATTTTGATAAAATAACGTACAACGTTATTGTATTTGTTTCCGTGTTTGTATCCCGTAAGTTAGTAGTTAAGTTTGTTAGCTATGTTTTACTTATTTCACTAATAAAGATTAAAGGTTTAGATTGGGGGCAGCAAAATATCGCGCAAGCGGGTATTAGCATGGACAGAGATATTTTTGCTCGCTCGAATCGAGGTGAAAAGGGTTTAATCCTTTCCCAACACGTTCGAAGGTTGAACATATGGACCGTTTAAAATAAAAATATGAGAAGAAAAAAGCTTAAGTAGCATTTGATCCAACAATGTTCGCATTGATCTGAATTACGTAATTAAACCTTTTTACGATAGCAGTAATAAAATCTATTGAATTGCATCGAATTAGTAGCATTTCCTCTCCAATAAGTCAGTTACAGTTGAAAGTGAAAGAAGTATACAATTAAATTTTAACATTAAAATCTATCTATAATAGTTTATCTATCTGTAATCTATCTATAAGTCTGAATTCGATTTAATGCAAGTCGACTCTAAGATATAAATTTCACAATTTAATTGTGAGATGTCTAAGCTATAAAACTATGGTAAATTATTATTTATGCTCAGAAGTTAAAGGTGACTTTTGAAAATTTTCTAGTTGACATGATGCGCTTGAATTTTCAAGAAATAATCGCGTAATTCACGATCTTGGAAAGCTTCCAAAGATTCAACATTGCACATTGGCCATCACTATAAAAGAGACTTCTGAATAGGGTCTTAGTAAGAAATTTTCCTTAGGTCGTCATGGGTTACGCCCAACGCCATGGTGAATTTAGAAAATGTACGAGTCACATTGAAACTCATACCAGGAACGCTTCGAATGGACGGACGGAGAGGAACGAAGAAGTTCACAGCAGGTGTTAATACGGAAACATAACGCCAAAAACATTCCCAAGACGCAGATGGAAACGCATTCGCAGCATATGGCGCCATATATGCCCCAAGAGAATTCCAGTTTGCTCTGTAGAGTTCGTAAAATTTCATAATATCGAGAGCACGCCCTTCGTCTGCTTTGGGAAAGAAAGTTATGTGTAAGGAAAGCACACAAACTGCTTGGTATATG